AGCTTGCTGGCAATAGCCCGATTCATCCTACTCTAAAATGCCAAATGTGTAGATTATTATTATTATTATTATTATTATTATTATTATTATTATTATTATTATTATTATTATACTGACTTCGGATGGAGGAGTTTTTTAGAATTGTTTAGCCGAAACAATGAAAACGTTCTTCATTCCAGGGTCCAATTGGATCTCAAAATTAATAATGAAGTGCGGCAACGCTTTAACCTAAACGACACTAGTGCCTAAACTGCACCTATAGTTTTGTTACTATTCTTCTAACGATCTGCCTCAACTTTAAAGCCTACGAATTTTTTTAGGGTAATTTACATGAATCGTGTATTTCTCAAAAACGGATCCTAAACGTTTTCCTTACACTTCTTTTGTAATAGAAGACAATACGCTAGTATTTTTGACGAGAGTGCGATTTTGATAAAAGCCTCGATATTTTCTTAAAATAGCACAACTTTTTTCCAACCACTTCTGCTCCTTCGTTGTCGAAGATAGAGCTTTTTCTTTTAATGCAATTTATTTGTCAGTATTAGAATTTTGAATGATTTCATCTAAAGGTTTAAATAAAATTCAATTTCAAATCCAATTGTATCCATTTTTCAAAAATCCATAAACATGATTTTTTCAACAAAATATGTCCCATGTTTTTTCTGTAAGCCTTTTATACTCATTTAAACGCACTGGATCTTGCGGGATAAAGTTTCAAAACTTACTCAAACTTACACACTTTCTTCTGAGACGGGATGAGAAACGTTTGAAAGAAGGAATATATTAATATTTTCATCGAAGACACAGAAAAATAATATTCTGTTTTTAATAAATGCAAAACTTCAGTTCATCAAGAGCATACTTCACTAAACAAACAAAAATCAACTTAAGTCATTGGCGAATCGAAATTATTTTTACCATTTAGTGATTTTGAAGTCGTGTTTTAATTGAATTTTTATAGAGAACAAGATTCGAGCACTGGAACACGTCAGCTACACAATAACCTAAAGCGATAATTTAAGATTCGTTACAGCGTAGGCTTCCGCGGCCGGAGTCAGTATTTACTAGGCTGTCCGGGTGACGCCACGGACGCGGCGACACCCGGACAGCCTAATAAATAAAGATTCGTTATATTTGCGAGGAGAAGTTCAAATAGCATTTCTATTGGCTTGCTATACAACTGTAATTTATGTTACTAGGTGTCGAGAACGAATATATCTATATAACTAATTTCGAATGCAGAAATTGAAAGAAAACTATGCACCTTCTGCCTATGTGAGAGATATCTATGTTTTCATTAAATACCCAAGAACTTGGGGGAAAATCCAAAAAACATTCATATAAGAAAAATTCATTCCATTTTCCTTCTGCGTTTACACTTTTCTTTTAATCTTTCTTTTTCTTCCCAATGTGCATTTCTCTAATGTTACGGCCCTAAGCCGCCATCCTGATTGAGTTTCCTGGGTTTACATCATCGTTTAAGGCGTATGTCGGGATGGTCCCTAGTCTTGCAACACAGATATTAATGTAAAATCTCCTTTTTTTCGAATTTGTTCACAATTGAGACATTTGGGTGTAGAAGATAATTTCTGACATTTTGCGAAAGGAAAATTATTTATTTACCACGCCCTTTTTGTAACTATGGAACATTGGCTCTCTTTATATATATTTAGCTTTAGAGTACAGAAAATTGACAATGAAAGTAAGATCATACTTTATGTTTCATTACTTATGTGCAGTTAATTAATACGATAGTTGCACTTTTGTAAGTAACGTGAAATGTTCATTATCCCTGTTTCCGCCCGAACGCCTCAATTTTAATTATGTAAATGAAAATATTTAATCGGTTAGGCGGAAGAGCAGGCCTTATGGCGTGAGCCTCGCCAGAAATAAAGACATCATTATTATTATTATTATTATTATTATTATTATTATTATTATTATTATTAAAACACAATGAAACAGTTTATATTTTAAAATGCAAGTGTGATTGCGTTAGTTCGCATATTCACATACTGCGCATACCGAATGAAAAAGATTGCCCACTGCTAACGACACAGCTGACGACATGTGACAAGAAGGTTCCAAGAAAGAGGCTATCCGCCATTAAATATTTGCTATTCATCTGTTACGTTATGACCAAGCAACTTTTTTAATATTACATGCTTCTGGAATGTAAAGAGGTGTTGAACTATGCTGTATACTAGGCTATGATATTACAGTATTCGTGAAGCCCATTCGTTGAAATATTTGATTTAATGTAATTATACAATAAAAAGTTTCTTGTCAGTCTTACGCTGTGTATGAGCTTCCAGTTGTTTATAATAATTTGCACATCGACTGAAACGCTATACATGTCAGATAAATGACAGTCTATGTCAGTATGAAAGCCTATGTATTTATCTTTAGACTTCAGCTGTATTATTTTGTGCTAGAAGTCTACACCTGTCAATGAATATTAGTAAATTATCTCAATTATTGCAGTTCAAGGAATTATTATTTTCACTTGATATTCTAGAACTCGTATTTATCAAAGTCATTCATATCCAGGGGTTAAAAATACCTTTAATCTACAGTCCTATCTGATATTTTCTCTCCGGAAACTCTATCATCCATGTTTCCACAATTAATATTTATGTACAATTCTTCTATCTACTGTGTACGCAAAATAATATATTATAATTATTCTATGTATATCTATTATATCTATAATATATTATATCTTCTATGAATGAACCATTTTAGTTGCCTTTGCTTAGATAGTACTCAAATTCGCGTTCTTTTCAGAATTTTGATAAAACTCCTCGAAAGACACGGGGTTCGTTCCACAACTTTTCGGAAGATCTGTTTTTCCCACATGTTCTCTTTCGACATCTTAAATTCTATTTTCATCCCACGCCAAGACATTAAAAGAAATATTCTGATGATGGTTTAAAGAACGTATTTCGGTAGAAAAAAGCTCCGTCTGTGTGGTTATTAATACTTGCTTCCTGGTCACGTATATATTAACGCGTGCTGTAGTTCTGCACAGATATTCCGACACAAAGTTGAAAAACTGGAGTGTAAGCTATAAACCACAATAATAGGTAGAATTAAAGATTTCTGTTTGAAATTAAAAATAAATTTATTAGAAAATAGTTTGACGTATATTTAAAAAGATTGCATTCTTCATTGAGACAATAGAAAAGTTGGTTCATTAACATCTAATCTTTTCGACGATGTGCTAATATTGAACATTACGCACATTCCATTTAGATCCATAATGCAAGTAACCAGATTTGAATTCATTATATGAACAGTATATGATATTAAGGATATTTAATATTTTTTCTTGAAATATTAACATTTTACAATATTTGAAGTTTATTCTGGAAAATGGTATATTCTTTGACAAATAATAAGCAAGAAGTTGTACAACGAAGTTGTACAACAAGTACAACGAAGATGATAATATGCACGTTTCATAACTGAGTAATTTACAAACTTAAATCAATAAATCTAAAAACAGCATGTGGCCACCGTTATAAATGTTCTGCAGATACTTCTTTTTGTTTTCAATCATAATGTGATCCTTTTTCTTTTACATCGCTCGGTTTAAGCCTCCTAGAGCAATGTAGACATTCATCTCACGGTGCTGTTAACATCAAACTTCTATCATTAATAACATTTTGAGCGTCTTTCAGGTGGCTGATGAAAAGAGAGCAACATCTGGTGTGTAAGTAGGGCTCGGTGCCTGCCAATGATTTTATCTTCGCTTCATATGAAAGCGTTCTTGAGCTCTACAAAGGAGAAAGCTTTACGTTGCAACGACAGGTGTAGGTCCTGTTCCGGCTCTCAAACGACCTTAGACTATAAACCGCCTTGCTAATGAAATCATCTTTATTATTCCCTCGTTGCCATAGCATCCCCGGAGGCACCACACTTAAACATTTCTTCTCCAAAATGACAGAAAAGAATGAGCGGAAGATAAAGGAATGCGAAATAGGATTTGTTTATTTTGATGTATTGTCATTTTATGACGAGGAGAGTATTCATTTAATGACGCTTTAATAATAAACAAAATAACTGTTTTATTGTCACCACAACATTAGAAATGAATAAATAAATAAATACAATTATTGTGGAGATGTAACTTCGAAGGTGATACAAAAGCCGGACACGGCGATGTTCTTTTTATGAAATAGAAAATAAATAAGAAAATAAAGGTGGAAATACTATTGATAGAAAAAGGAATGTGAGAATTAAAGGCAATAAAAAATAATTATAAGAGCGTTGTTGTCCCCGACCACAATCTTTACACTTCTGAAAATGAATAAATCCGTTTGCGACAACGCACTGGATAATAAAGAATGAAGGATTCACACGCAGGATCCTTATCTTTTAAATAAAATTAGACATAAATGAGTCAATATAAGAAAAACATACTATTGATTTTCATGAAAAATAATTAATGTTACTGATAATAACATAATCAATTTCTCTAAGTTGGAAAGCAGGTAAATCACTTGCAGGGGCCTAGAGAGGCGCCTATTTCGAATATCTAGAACAGTCCGCTTGCCCATCACGAATCAAATTGATGACCAGGTGAAATGTAGTGGTATAAATGTATTGTATCTCGTTGAATATTAAAATAGAAACTTGTTGACAGTCGTATGTACATATCTTATCTTTCACGAAGTGTATGTAGCAAATAAAGGTCCACAACGTAAGTGCAGGCGAATATCACGCTCTTCACTAGCGCGGTAAATCACAATAGTCAGTTGTCATGTTTAGTTTTCAACCACATTAGTTCTGTAGTTGAAAACATAAATTCAATAAATATGTAAAAGTAGATATTGTAAAATTGATCTTGTAATTCAAAATTTCAAGTAGTATTTTGTTTAAATAAAATCTTCATCAATCTTTAAAAATAATTGCCGACATTGCATGCACACCAAACTACGGACGACAAATGACAGGAGCAAACTACTTAACAATCGAGAAGTTGTCAAGAGCCTTACCTCCGATCTTCCGCACATACTCGAGTCCTGGAAGCGCGCTGAGAGAACTGTTCTTGATGCCTGGTCTGCACTCACTGGTGGCGGCATCTTACAGACTCATCGCAACTGCTTGTGGCAAAAAGAAGAAGTCTTCTGGACCAACACTGTCATCTAACGAGAAAACAAGATATCAGTGTGTTTTCCCGCCTTTTCAAGGAATAAATTCCTATTTAGTCCTAATCACCTAGTTTCCCGGCGAAGGTGTTTAAATGGTACAACTTTGTGTGTACGTTAATGTGATGAGATAATGAAGCCGGTTTAACTAGTCACTGACCTATGACGTAATCTTGAATGTTTGATACACGAATTCAACACGAAGTAATAAAGGATACAAACGCGCAAGCTTTTTGAAATAATATTTTTGCTTTTAATTGTCGTGTACTTTAGACCTCGAGCGCCTTTAATTAGAAGAAAAAATGCAGTGATTGAAATAAAATATGAATTATGAAAATGAAATTGAATTTCGCAATTCTTTAATTGGCGAATATTAGAAATGTTCGCAATATAAAATTTACGCTGAACATAATTATTTTATGACAATTTTAATAAAAAATCTGAATATTTTAATTTATTAAAAAAATATGTAAATACAGGATAAATAAAAGTTTGAAAAATATAAGTACACACAATATTATTTCTTTTTCGTAAACATAAATATAAAGATGTGCTTAAATTAATATTCAGAGTTTTATATAAATAAAATAAATACGGGCGGCAAAGAATCCAAAAAAATATTTTCCAATTTTAAAAATAAAACATTTTTTTAACTTACGCGCTGTTTCAAGCAGCGTCACATGAATAAAGTGATGTATTTAATTTTTAAGTCTATACTTACCAATTTTTCTACACTACACACTCACGCACGTCTATGCACATATCAAAACATGGCGCCACAACGAATTAAGTCGACTTAATATAAACATATTTCCACTGCCACCGCGCAGTAAACGCTGTCGGAAACCATAGAGTTGAAATGCCTTATTACAAGGCTGTGCTTTGCTTTTAGAGGTCTACAGTGGCGACATCTGGACGGGAAGGATCGCAAAATTTATCCGCCATTTCTAGTTGTTTGTGTGGTCGATCATACTGATCTGTGGAAGCCGGTGTTGTTTTCAATTTACTCTGTTATTAGTGAGTAGGAGGACGTGTAGAGTAGAATAGGCGCTTGCAATTTTTTTCATTCATCCATGTGTTTGGTTGTTTTATAGCTGAGTTCATCTTTGTAGCAGTGCTGTCCTGTTCTTGACGCCTTGTGCATACTCACTAACGTTAAACATACACGAACAAGATGAAGTAATTTTTTCATAAATAAACTTATTTATCTTCCAAAATTGTCACGTAGATATTTGTGTGAAAATATTAATTTTTACGTATACTATGTTGAAGTTGCTAATGAATAGGTTATGGCATATGTGTTTGTTTTGACTTGCTAAAATATCGAATTACAGAGATGTGCTGTCGGATGGTATTCCTCCGTTAATTTGTGATGTATTGAAGTTCCAGATTTCCTCGAGGGAACATGAAAATGGTTCGAGGAAGGGGAAGAGGTGGAGGAATGGGACGAGGCATGGGCCGCCCAGGACCCTTCAAAGTTAAACCATTCGTACCTCGCCACCCGTTTGATTTGGCCCTGTGTGAATCTGCTTTTCCAAGAGTGAAGCCATTGCCTGATGAAAATGCTTTTACACAAGTAATTCATTTTAAGTTTTATGACCGAATTTATAAAGCTTGTTTGTATTAGTATATATTGTTATCCCTTACTGTAGATTTCTTCTGTCTCTGAATTTTTAAACCTTTTCATTAAAATCTTTCTCTCCACTTTTTATAGCCCCTAAAATTAATCTTTTTTGGCATAGAGAAAACATTGTTTTTGTGGACGCCTGCTAACATTGACATAGATGTTTAACTTCCCATCATTATATCAAAGGGGGTTATATTTTCTCCAATTTTCTCAACAGATCTACCTATAATATTTTGAAACCGCTGAACTTTATATTATAAATGAAATGTTGCTAGAAGTTAATTGTTGCAATATAGGTACAGCCAACTGAGATTGCTAAATGCAGTGGTGATTTTTGGTCTCAGGGGTTGCAGGTTTGAGTTGCACCTAGGTATGGTCATTTACTCATGTGTTGTGGAATGGTGGGCTCTCTCTATGGCATAGAAGTGGGTGGGATACATGTACATGTTGTGCCAGATGATGTCATTCCCAGATTCGTTATGTTGTGGTGTGGCAAGAGACTTGATCACCATGTTTCTCCCACTAACTCTATCCTTCCCCTGCAAGATCAATACACTCGCACCATAACCAGCTAGTGTATCCAAGATGGCCCTAAGGTGTACTATGTCAGCTCCTGCCAACATAAAATTATGAGACGGCCCTAAGACAGTCTTCAACAGCTGAGGTAGGGAAGGATCATGACCAAACACCAAGATAAATGAATTTACAAAGGAAGGGGGATGAACTGCTGATTCAGGAACCCATGGCCCAAGAGACTATCTAGGTGTCAGGAACGGTGGGTCACACAAAGGACTGAGAGGCTAAATGATTTGAATCAAAGATATGTAAATATACTTGCATATACATACAACTAGTTTCAAGTGTCAGCAATGCTAATGCCAATTTTCATGTTAAAAAGTTTTATTTGTGCTTTGCTAGTTCATAATAAGAGATAAAGTTTAAACATGTTGCAGTTACCCGACTTGTCCCTTTTCGAGAATAGAAAGTTACATGAAAAAGAACTTATAAAAATATTTAAAGTTTTATTTCATTACAAAAAAGGTTTAATTGTTATCAATCTGATGAATTGGGAGTTGTTACAATTAATGTAAATGCTGGAAAGATGTCACAGTAATTCAGTGTTACACTATTGTACTCATAGAGGCATTGAAACCATAAAAAATGTGTGTTCGTAGGATTATTCCAGAAAATCCAGGAGGGTGTCAACTATAAATTGTGCCTAATAACTTCTCAAATATTCAAAATTAAGAGTGGAATTTCAGAAAATAAGTACTTTCTAGATGGGATTGCTGTACAGTTATCTTATTGTTTTGTATTGAACATGATTTTTAATATCTTTTGTGTAACCTAGCGATACTAAGATTACAAGAGACAATGCTTAAAGGGTAAAGGAATTTTAGATGTTGTTTCTTCTTTTATCAGGCTCTTCTGAAGCGAAATACAGATCTGTCTCCATCGCCACAAGAGCAAACATCAGTTTTAAATCTTGTAACAAAAATACAGGCTGTGATGGATAATCTTGTTGTTGCTCCAGGAACGTTTGATGCTTGTGTAAGTAACGTTTATTTTGAACTTGAAACATTAGGAGAATTACTTCTAGTGTGTTACGTTAGTTCTTTCCCTTATGGAAGATGCATTACCATGATGTTTCGTGCATTGTCAAATGTGTGTTCAAAAAGGGGTATTCTTTTCAAAATGTACACTTTGTTAGTTTCTAAAATTTCTTAATAGTTTTCGTCTAATGAGTCTGAGCTGTAAATGTATACAATAGTGGTGATAAGCTTAAATAATTATTGTTGTGGCACCTGTGATTGCAGTAATTGGACTTCGGTTGATTTTTCAATTTCATAGAAAATTCAAAACCAGCAAACCAACCTAGTTTCATTCAGTGGTCACTCTCCTTGTCTGGTATTTTGGTATTGCTTCCTTTTGTTTGAGTAGGTGCTCACTTTTGACTCCGATTGACAAGACAAATAAAATTTGCAAGAATTCCTGAGGGGGGTGCGATGATTGCACAATATTGTAAATAATTTTAATGCAAAAGTCATTATGACAAATTTATTTATTTTTTGACAATGAACAAAATGTCTTATTACGCTAAATCAAGAAATATTATTTAAAGTAGTATTTTCTCTTTGGAAATATTGTGTACATTTTATTTTTGTTTACAGCAATTAGAAGAAGTTCGACAAGTTGGTTCATTTAAAAAAGGAACCATGATGACTGGTCACAATGTGGCTGACATCGTTGTTATTTTGAAGACTTTGCCTACTAGAGAAGCAGTAGAAGCTCTAGGGCTGAAAGTACAGGAAGATCTTAAAGCTAAAGATCCACATGAAGGTAATTTTTTTAAGCAAATGCTTCAGATTTCTTTCTTTAAACAACTCTCTACCAAAGTTTTTTTACGAAGTGTTCTGTGTTGTATCTTGGTAGGAGCATTTGGGGAATATTTAACTGCAAGGAAATGTATTTGTCAATAATATCATTTATTGATTAGTCCTATTACGGTGTGAATCCAATATAAGAGGCTGCTAGGGATATAAATTTTTGTTCCTAATGGGTAGGGAATCAAATAAGTGGAAAATGCAATATAAATTCCTGTACCATCTAAAGTTCTCTTACATTTTTTAATGTTCTCAGTAAGGTATGATGTTAAGTTTGGCAATAATTTCTTTTGGGAGTAATCACTATGGGAACTGCCCATTGTAATTCATAAAAGGTTTCTACTGTATTTCACCGTAATGTTTGGACATTAATTATGTAACTTTTAAAAATGTTCAACAAGTCCTTTGAAAAGTAAAGAATCTCAGACTAATGTAAACTATTTAATATATTACTGCTTGCTAGTGAATGTATTTTGTTTTTTTAAAGTCTTGTGTGTTCTTATTTACAGTTTTATCTATGTTGACAAATGATAGAGGTTTTGAAGTCAGTAGCTCTGAAGCTACTGTGCGTGTGCTTATGACAACAGTTCATCACAATTTGCGCAAGTTAGATCCAGAGTTGCATTTGGACCAGAAGATTCTGCAATCTCATTTAGCTGCTATTCGACACAGGTTAATTTTACATTTAAGTACATTCTTTTGTATTATTGGGACTGAATAGAATGCTTTCATGTTTTCTTCCTTCTTTCAGTCGATGGTTTGAGGAGAATGCTCATCACTCCTCTATCAAAGTATTGATTAGACTTTTACGTGACCTCAGGAATAGATTTGAAGGTTTTGAGCCGTTGTCTCCATGGATGCTTGACCTTCTGGTAAAATTATGTGCATATATTTTTTATTTGGTTATCTCGGCTTGAGAAAGTCATTAATAAATCTGTATTGTAAAATCTTTCAGGCTCACAGTTCTATTATGAATAACCCTAGTCGTCAGGCCTTGCCCATTAATCAAGCATTCCGTCGTGTTCTGCAATTGCTTGCCGCTGGCTTGTTTCTTCCTGGATCAGCAGGTAAAAAACTGCTTCAGCTTGAGGGATGGTAACTGCCTTGTAATGGCAAGAATGGTTGCACCCCACGTTTTAGCATAGCAGTAACAGTAGTAACCTTGTAACTGCCTTATAGTCAACTCCTTAAAGGCTGTTTCTAAGAAACTTTTTAAAGGTTTGAAGCTGTCACTTAAGTTTGCAAAGGCATTTGTGTACGCAATTTAAATCATGTGTTTGTCCAAATTTAACTGTGACACTTCTCAGGGCAGAATGCAACAAAATTCTCTCTGAAGTGCAAGCTTCTTTGAAACTTGCTTGTGTTTTTGTCACTACCCTCATCTTCACATGTATTAATATTTCTTTTTTGGTCCTCCTCCCGTGCTGAGAAATTTTCTGACTTTCCAGGACCCTCTTGAAAGATGTGGACTAAATTTGCATTGTTCATAGTCTTCTATCAGACGCCATCTAAGAACATTCCCTTCTGGCGCCAGACTTTCTATTCGTCCTGGACTTGTTGATGGCCTTTGTTTCTGTTCAAATCTCAGATTTGTATTCGCCAGGCATCAAACAGAGATTCTGTGCGACCTCATCGAACCAGCATTGTGTAACAAACTCTCTGCATTCATTTTCATGTTAAGTTTAATTTGTTACAATGTCATTCATTTAGAGATTCTCTTTACCGGCACACTCAAAAATATCAGTCTGAATTGCCTCACAAATTTGCAGTGGATGCTGAGAATATGAACGTGAATATAATTATGTATTGTTACATGTGATATTTTTATCATCTTGGCATGTAATGGCAATGTAAAAACTTCAATCCTAACAGACTAGGCTTAATCTGCAAATGTATGACGACCCTGAATTTTTTGACTGAGATATTTTGGAAAAAATCTTGTCTCATATTTGAGTAAATACGATACTCTAAAAATTCAATAAAAGTGTAATTGTTTTGCAGAAATTGTTAAAGATGATGCATTTTGCAAACTTATCATTTTATATAATATTGACTGAAGATGGTTTGTGAAAAGCATCCTTAGTCAGCAACCTCCAACTTGCTGTTATATCCCATTACATTTTTTTCTTGCAAGTTCTCCTTTGATGGCAAACTATCCATCTGCCCACAGTGCTTGAGCTAATCTTTCGATGTGTGCAGAATGCTCAAGGCAAATTCAATATATTGTGAAGTCAGATTGAAATAATTAATTGCATGAAATCCTTTTCTAATTTCACAGGCATATCTGACCCTTGTGAAGGTGGTAACATAAGAGTCCATACTGCAATGAGCCTTGAACAGCAGGATATGGTGTGTTTGACAGCTCAGACACTACTTAGAGTTCTAGCTCATGGTGGTTTCAGGCGCATTCTTGGTCTGGAAGGAAGTGTTGGTATGTTATTTCTATATACAAAAATTCTATGTAGTTTTATAAAAAGAAACTACTGGTATATATCTTTGGTTATTGGAGAATTGCAGGTAGTTTGGCTTCGGATGTTAAGTAATGACAAAGACTTTTATAAGATTATTTACATATTTTTTTGACCGAATATTCAGCCTTCAAAATCAGCAAAAGAAATTTCTGATTTTTTTTAATGCTTTCGTAGAAACCTTTTTATTCAAGAATTGGATGCTTGTATTAATTAGTTTGTAAAATAATGCAAATTTTTTAGTTAATTGTCTGATGTTTCAGGAATTGCTACTGATATGTCTGTTTGGGATGGAGTCGTTGTATCACCTCTCGATAAAGCTTATGAAAAACCACCTGAGAAAAAAGAAGGTGAAGAAGATGATATGGAAGCAGATGGGGGAGAGGAAGCAATGGAAACAACAGATAATTAATTTTTAAATTATTGTGTGTGATGTTACTTTTTGTGTAAGGATAAAGTATTCGATGTTTCTCTATTTCTACTCCTTTTCATTGTAAAAGATAAGATATAATAAATATTAGTGAATAGATCCACTTTATTTTATTATGTATAGCTACATATTTTCCAGAACACTGGAAGTTATTGCACATCAAATCCTCCTGCATTGTTACAATGTTCAAGAAGGCCCTGAAATACTATTTTTCAATTCATGCTACATCAACATTCTTGATAAATATATTTGTTTGCATGAATTCCCATGAAATGTCTAGGATGTTCAAGGAAGATACCACTTAGAAGTAAAGGTTAAGCCATGACTCCACTAAACATTTAACAGTAACATGTTAAATAAAACTTCCATATCACAAAATGTTAAATGTACGTGGTGTATAAGAGTTGGCGAAGAGGATTCAAACCAACTCAATTTTCTGGATTTGCCAATTGTATTATAATGCCTTGGAGCTATTTTTTATTCTTTCCCAAAACCGCTAATTGTGGCCACTAACTGGTATATTTTCCTCACTATTTAGATGTTATGCATGTTCCATAAATCTGAGTACTGTCATAGCCTCCAGGAGGTTGCGTTTCTTCCTTTGGCTATTTAATTTTACTTAAAACTACGATAAAAATCGTAATTTGGAAGTACAGCTTATGCCAAACTCACAATCTAGCCTGATATTTATCCAACATCCAAACAAATGACATGAAACAGTTTTCCATTCCTGCTGGAAAACATCTAACATGTGAAATTAATTTTAAGTGATAGATACATTTAATATTCAGTGTTATGAAGTCGTGGCTTTATTCATTGTTTACACAACACCAGAGACTAGAATTACTGCTAGTTGATAGAACTCGGAAAGATTAAATCATCCTAAATATTTGAAATAACTGGATAATGTGTGGATCTGTGACAAACCTTGACATGCCTACTTTTGACATCCTAATATTTAATATCTTATGACTTTCAAGGTCTACAAGGAAATTTGCGAGAAACATTTTGATGAAGCTTGAATTCTTGTACATCCCCATACGTACTATATCACCTTTTCCTAACTTAGTGATGTGTTACACAAGAAAAAGACTTTTGACTTATGTTGGCTAATCACCTTTTAATTTTGAGAAGCAAGTTTTACACTGCCTTGCTTATAGAATCTTAAAAAAAAGAAAAAGTGCAAAATTTTGTATCAATGTGTTGAAATGTAATGTGTGATCCTGGAATGTACCTTTAAGGGGATTACAATAGCATTTGTGCTTGGAATTTGAATGTATAGTATGATTTACTTAGCCGTGAACTTGATGTAAATCAGCAGTTGTAGTTTCATCCAATCGTGAGTTTAAATGTCACTACAGTAACATCACAATGGGGACTTCCAAGCTCCCAATTGAAAGAAATCATGAACAGCTGATTCACGTTAAGTGACGGTTCAACAAATCCTAGCACATAACTTAATGTTTATTTTGTGCCTTTTTCTGAATTCTTATTAACCAGTCTTTGAAACTTTGTATTTTATTCAAAACCTAACTTCTCTTCATGTAAGCAAACCAGTTAAGTTTGTATGACTAGATATTTACTGCAGATTTATGACTCATGAGGGTACTTTCGAACAGCTACAAAATATATTAAAACTCATTCATTTACACTACAGGGTGAAACTCTTAAAGCCTCTATTTTTTCTAAAATATGAATGCAATTCATATTCCTACATACAGGGATTATTTTCTGGGGACAAATCAACATTATGACATCCGACATATGTATTTCCTCCAAGTGGTACAGGAACTCGGAAAAGTTTTCCACCAGGCATGCAGACGCATACTTTGTAATGCAATGTGACAGTACTATCTGCTCTCCTTCCACCAGGAACAATTGGTATGCTCTTAATATCAAGGGATATGCCTTCATGACCACTCAAAACAACACTACCATTGACACTTTTAAGGAAAATATCTTGATCTGCAGACCAAACAATTTCACGCCCTTCCATACGTGTGCCTTCATTACCTTTTAATCGAGCATATGAATCAGATTGAAAAAGAAGACTAGAATTTACACTACTTGAGATACGTCTCGTGTGAGCAATTTTTACATTTAAATGTGCCACACCCCTTGGAAGGCCAAAATTAGGATAGCCAGTTGAAAAAACAGGTTGACCTGTAGAAGGGTCATGAACTTCAAAGGAATCAACTCCACTGATTAATGTTCCATTTACATCAACAGAAATTTGAGGATTATTTCGACCTTCCTTATCAATTAAACTGATAAGAACAGAAGAATTGTCACCTGTTATTTCAACAGGACTATCATCAAAACCTTCCAATTTACCATCGCGCTTGTAAATTCTATCCAAATCAGTGTTACCATAAAACATGACCAGAGATTCTTCAGGAAGAAGCTCAAGACTTTCCATTCCCTGTCCAAGACGCAAAACTCCAAGAATTATGAATGTTAATAGTAAATTTCCCAAGGCTAAGAAGAACAGAAGAACTACAAGAGTCCAAAATGCATATGTTTTTCTACCTCTCAGTCCAGTTTTTGGAAGAACTTGCTCATGGACAGGAACATAACCAGCCCTTTCAACATATAAAACAATATAATTTATTAGGTACTCTGAAAACAGCAGGAGCAATCCTACGTCATGCATTTACAACCCCCACCTGTAATTTCCATTGTGTTGTCTATTAACGTTTCTTTTCAAAATTGCTTTTTCCCCCATTGGAAGGGTACCAAATCCACTTTCTGAACGATCGGACCCAGGCGACGCTCGAGAATTGGTTAAAGTGGACATTATTGAACTTATCGCAAACCTGAAATCAATCATAACCAGCATATTATTCGGTAAAATTATTTATCCACATCCTTGACTTTCAAGAGAATAAATGTCAAATATAAATATAACTATTTCCATAACAATTACTTTTATTTTTCATTCACTTCACTTCAAATTCAGCCCCTGTCGTATACCCCTTTTGACTAGAATTTATGAACTAGCGGTTGCAAGCAATGGACGCGTTTAGTGTTCGCTCGCTGAGGGAAAAAATCATTTGTGCTTACCGCTTTTCAGCTGTTTATATGTGAGATGTTCGACTCTGGCGTCGATGTAGAGAAACCACTCTCTGGGAAAACATAAGAATCACTGTGAGCGACTGATGCGACAGCGCGCACATCTGCACTGTAATCATGGCTTCGGAAAGATATAGTTTTTCTTTAACAACTTTCAGGTATTTATCTACCTATTTGCACATATTTCTACTTTCTGATAAATCATTTTAATCATTTTAACAATTGGGAGTAAGGGTTTGAGTGAAAGTTTGAAGTGTATCAGGGTTTGATAATTCTATTGTGTTTTGTGAGTGAAGTTTCACAGTATACAAAACTTCCGAAAATATGAATATCCATTTTTGAAATTAATTTCAAAGTGAGGGAATAATACCTTTACTAATGTTGGTAAATTGTACAATCTTTCAAACGGGATAATGCTGATTATGCCAAGTCACAAAATTGCATATCATGCGTTTCATTTATTAAGTTATTTAATAGGTAGACATATTTGTCCTTAAGGTGGTTCTGTTTCAATTCACTCTGTAATATGGTTATTAATTATTAAAATTTTTTAATGCAGTCCATCAGGAAAACTTGTGCAAATTGAGTATGCACTTGCAGCCGTTGCAGCAGGAGCACCTTCTGTTGGAATTAAAGGTAAGTAATGAAACTCTTATTTCATTGAATAGTTCAGCATATCTTGTTTTAATTTTTTAACATATTTGTTTTCGTTCAACAGCTTCCAATGGAATTGTTCTTGCTACTGAAAATAAACACAAGTCTATTTTATATGAGGAACACAGTGTCTTTAAAGTAGAAATGATTACGAAACACATTGGAATGGTGTATAGTGGTAAGTAAGATTTTATGAAATTTCATGTACATTTAATATTGGCAATGTAAACTAACTTGAGATAGCGGCTCTAATGGGAATTTCCATGTTGAACAATTTTGTTTGTATTTTTCAAATTCACAATAAAAATACATTTTAAGTATATGAGTAGTTATATAAGGAGCCGCAATGGTGACAGGATTTTCGACACCAGCTACATAGCTAGGTTGAGTGCAGCCTCTGTCTGAAGAATTCTAACTTCCAGCTGCTATGATCAGTAGTTTTCTGTGGTTTCTCTGATCAACACCAGGCAAATGCTGGAGCATTACCCTAACAAACGAGCCACAGACCGTGTGCGATCTTCCTGTCCTCTTCTTTGTTCTATCGTTATCCCTTACTTACAGACACTGTACTACTAACACACTTCAGGAGATCAGTCAGGAGCGTAGAGCTTTGTCCCGGGTGGGGCGGTACCATGCCATCCAGCAGGGGTACCGCCCCAATGAAGTGATACACGTGACCATAGTAAAAAGATAAATTTTTTTTTTTTTTTGTGAAATTAATTTTTTTTAATATCCAAAATTATCTTCAATATAACGAAAAATGTAATCTCCCTATGACATATGGGAGGGGGATGTGAGAAATAAAAGGGGAATGGTGTTAAAATTTTTAAATTTATGTGCAAAGATTTTATTGACCCTTCACCTTGAAAATGAACCTTTTCTGCTGATTGATGAAGTGTATAAAACCTCTCCTTTTTTGTTTGTATTACAAATGAATGGGCAACTGGAAAATAAGTTTATTTTGTTGTATTGATGCTCATGATAAATCTTCAAAATGTTTTGTGTAGTTGCTGTGGTAGATGTTAGTGCACCTTGCTGGTTGTAGTGTAATATAATTTTGCAATATTCAATTTAACATGATTCATGTGAGAGACATTATAGGTCTTTTTATATAAAATATAGACATATTGTTTTAAGGTTTTGCCTGATGATAATGTCTTATATTTTGCATGTGTGCTGCTCTCTTCTCTGAATCATAACTGCAACTTTTTTTGGAGCGGGGGTATATTTATTTGATATAGGACCAGAGAGATAATTCCTTCTCCAGCCACTTTTTAAAATCTAGTTTACATTTTTTTTAAAATTCTCATGATTGCTCTCAAAATATGTAAAATCTACTTATATTTTGAAAAAAAAATAGTCATTTAAAGGTCCTATTTTTGAAGAACCTATTTCATTAACACATTTGTGTAGTTGTGAGAGGAGGAGCTCAAAGTAAAATTAAAATCATGTGATTTTGCCAGGAGTTTTTATTATAAGTATAACCTGAACTATTGATATAAAAATACTTTCAAATGCAGAAGTTCTACCAATGTTTGAAAAAATCCTTTATCCTTCTCTGTTTGTTCTCCTCACACTGATTTATAGCAATAAAATCCCATTAACGCTTTGTTGCAAAAATGTGAGGAGACTTAGCTTCTTCTGATCTTTCCGTGAACCTTAAGACAAATTAACAATTAAAAACAGAATGTAAAATCAATAAAATAAAAAATAATTAAAAACAAAGGATAATGAAATGTGAAGAAATAGAAGTTGGAAATACTGTGTTCTATAAATTTCAAGAAATTGACTGTTTGACTATCTTACAAATTTTTTGTCCATCTTAGTTCATGTTCTTGGAACACAATAGATTGGTTATGTCCCACCCTGAGCTGTTCAGCCCACGCAGTATGGGTTCAACCTGACCCACGATTACTATTTGCATTTATCGCCTTCATCAATGTTTATGAGTTGTGTGAATGAAAACATACGTTTGAATTTGTTGGTTGTTCTCCGCTCTGTTATGTCTTCTGGCTGATCATTCCACCCACCTACAACTCGATGTGATTTGAATTTCTTATAAAAGGACATTATTAACTTGGTTTTCAAGTGTGCTTCTTCAAGGGCTCTTCAAGGGCCTTATTATTAAGGCATATTAAAATGAGTGGTAGTTTGGCAACCTTATAGAAGACTTTAATAATATTGTAGGTTTTTGTCATTTCTACTCTCTTGTCAGCGGGTCCCAAGTGGCTACAAGGGGTACAAGTGACCTTTCTTAATGCTCTCCAGGAGATATATATCCTTTATCAGGTATGGATTTCATACCATACGTCTGTTTTGCAGTTTAGGTGCAAAAGAGCACAAATAAATGGAAAATTGCTTTCAGTGTGATGATGTTTACTGAATGACGTTCAGAAAAAAAGTGCCTTATTTATCTTCTCTACTGAATAGTTAATGTGGCATACCTTTGAGGTATGTATTCCATACTGTACTTCCATATTGCAGTATGGTAGCAAGAATAATTGGAAAATTGCTGTGTGATGATGTCTATTGATTTAAATGCCTTCATCAGAAATAGTGCCTTATTTGTGCTGTTTGTATATTTTGTTGTTTGTTTCCACCAATAGTGTTTTGGCATTGAAGATTATTTCATCCAATATGCATGACCATGCATGTTTTGTTTACTCAACAGAATTATCCCCAGTTATCCATTCATAGATTTTGTCATGGTCTTCCTGCAACTCAAATTAGTTGATGCTGGTGTTGTTATAGATGTGCATGTTGTTTGCATACATTAAGGATTTGAACATAATGTGGATGGTCAAGTCATTGGTGTATAGAATAAACAGAAAACGACTAAGGACTGAGGCCTTTGTGAAAGAGTTCTGCATAAATAGAAGATTTATTTTCCCTGATGCATATCAAATACCTTTCAATCAAAAGTTAGTGGATAAATTGAAATTTCTGTGTGCATTTATGTTTTCAGGCATGGGTCCTGATTATCGCCTATTAGTGAAACGTGCAAGAAAGATGGCACAGCAGTATCAGCTTGTTTACAATGAACCTATTCCAACAGCTCAGCTGGTTCAACGTGTAGCTATGGTGATGCAAGAATACACTCAGTCAGGGTAAGTACAGAACGTCTTGTTGCAATATATTACTGGATTAATTCTTGTGAAATCTTACTTTCTCGCCTAATTGCCTCAAAACAGTAGGTATTTATTGTGATGATTAAATTACTCAAAATGTATGTCTTTCTGTTCCTTTTAACATTACTATATATGTAAAAATAAACTTATTATTTTTCTCTTGCTAGCCCAAGATTCTTTTGTTACTTGGCATAGTAAGTGGAAAGTTATTGACATAAAACTTGTATTCTGTAGATGTAAAATGGGTTGATGTAAATAATATGTTGACCCAAGGCTGCTCACAAAATGTTCGTATGTTTTATCATGACACATGAAAATAGGCTTTCTAATTTCTGTCACCCGTAATCATGTTTTAACAAAACAATTTTACAGATGTGAATTTTTGAAAGGTAGGTTTAGTAGGATTAGGTAGGTGAGGTTTATGCTAATGAACTCAGCCGCTGCCGACAGCATTCAAGTAATATACCTACTGAGATGTGATTTATCATGTGAAAAACAAATCAACTGTAAAACAATTCACTTAGAGAGATACAGCCATGTTGATTTCCCTTGAAAACGACTTTTGGAGAAGGAGCTGCCATGTGTCTAGAGCTGAATACACATTCCAGCAGATGTTTTTGTTTTAATAAGATTTTTTTGTCTTAATAAGATTTTTTTGTTTAAATAAGATTTTTTTGTTCCATCAGATTCTTTTGTTTAAATCGAATTTTTTTGTTAAATCAAATTTTTTTGTGTAAATAGGATTTTTTTAAAATATATATATTATGATTTTTTATATTATTCAAGTGAGGGAAACAAAAACATATGTTTGTTGTTATGTGCAAATGGTTGCAGTACTAGAAACTACTTTGAAATAGAAACAGTACATATGTCATTACTATTTTTTTGTGAAATACTAGTTTTGTTTGTGTGAAAACTTTAATTTCTTCACTTGTGCAGGAGCCTTTGGAATCTTAACCACAAAACCTCATTGCAATAGATCTGTGTGAAAATATCAATACTACAATTCAATATTTGCATAAAAAGATGATGAAGTGACAAGTAATAATGTACATTGTGGAATACATATTTTAAAATGATGCCTGCGTTTTTTATTTAAACTTAAATGTTTCTGTCTTAAAAGTAATTTAAAATCCATATCTGTGTGTAAAGAAACTTGCAACTATTACTTTTTTTTACCTTTCATTGACAAAGTCAATAATAATAATACTAATAATAACAACAATAAAATAAACACAAAAATAGATTTAAAAAATGGAAAATTAAGAATGAGATAGTACTATAATGAATTTGCGCCATCCTTTATATAACAATTTCTACATACTGAAGGATATTGAGGGTTATTCAGGAGAATTAATATGTAAAAAAATTACCGGTTTCATAACTAAAACTATGCTTGAAACTCTGCTGATGAGGTGATTTTGTAGTAATGTAAATGTTGTGTAAGTACAGCTTTCTTAATTTTTGCTTGACAATTCCTCCCAACAAATCCAAGATGGTGTATGCCAGTATTTGTACAGTTTGGCTAATGCAATCAATTTAATTTTTTTTAAGGAGAGCTTTTATAAATTAAAGATGAATTGTTATTCTGGAGATATTCTTATTTGTATATTTTTTATGAATTCAGTTTCTTGAATTCTAAGATCATCATAAAATTAAACAATATTATAACCTAATTTATTTAAATGATTCTTGAATGTTACAGTGTTGTATTTAGTTTTATTTTTGTAAAGTATTTTTGAGGGTACTCAAAATCATTACATCTTATACATATACATATCAGTACATCTTATATTTTCTGTCAATGAAGTTATGGTAACTGCTTATGTTTTCAGAGGTGTGCGTCCATTTGGTGTTTCTCTCCTAATATGTGGTTGGGATGAGGGGAAACCATATTTATTCCAATGTGACCCATCTGGTGCTTATTTTGCGTGGAAAGCAACAGCAATGGGTAAAAATTTCATCAATGGGAAAACTTTCTTGGAAAAGAGGTAAGAATATATATATTTTCTCTTCACTTTCTCCTTTATTTAAAATCAAAAAGAGGTCAAAAACTGTATTTGAATAGTGAATAGTATTTGAATAGTGTTTGTTTTGACTTCTAGAATTTTTGTTCATTTTATGGGCATGATAATTTTCTATGGGTGATTAATCCTCTATTAAGGTTAGTACTGTAAAGCTTTAACAAATCTTGTGCAGCATTTTTAAAATTATTTCATGAGTGGTAAGGAAGAAAATTGTTTAATTTGTTTTATATATGAGTTCTTTAACTTATTTAGGGTGACCTTTAAGATAGTGGATTGTATGTGATATATACTTGACATTCGTTTCTTTTGGTTTGTCTATGTCTTATTGTTAGAGGCTTGGAAAAAGTCTTCGTCATTGCTTAATTGGTACTTTACCTATATCTGTTTTTTATTATATGATATGAGTGATCAGTTTGTTAATATTAGAGCCTGGAAGTTCAGGCTCTTATTTTACCTAAAATGGGCAGGTAAAAAGGTACTTATTCTTGGTAAAGTAGAGTTGCAAAGAGAAACGAAGACAATGAAAAATTTTATTTAAAAGGAAATATCGTTTAAAAATAAATAATTGAAATTATTCACATTTTTGCTCGATCTCAAAAATTTACATTCACACGTAACATGTTAGAAAATTATATTTTGATTTTAATCTTGATTCTACAACCACACAGTATGACTATGAATTTCTTTTACGCCTGACCCTAACTCTTAGAAATGATATTGTGAACTCTCTTTTAGATCTTGATATGCCATCAGTGAAAATGGAATTATTTTTTTCATTCTTTGCTCTTAAGTAACCCAATGCTGAGAAGGATATATCGTGTACAGAGAGATGTCCTCAAGAGGGATCGGTGACCGTACTCAAAAGTAGAATGGGAAGATGTATCATGTACAGAGAGATGTCCTCAAGAGGGATTGGTGACCATACTCAAAAGTAGAATGCGATTCCATGTGAGGGAACAAAGCCTTTTGGCATTAAACAAAAAGTCTTGACCGGTACCATCTGTCTTTTTCATTTAGATTTTTATTACAGCCTCTGCACTCACAGAAAGACAAAATGTGATCGTACCTTTGTGTTGTAAGGCTTGCAGATGTATATTCAACGTGCTCCCCATTTATGCTAGGAGGAAAGAAGCAAAATCATGAGGGAGGAAAAAAGAGGAAATGACAAAAATAGGAATCGTAAGCTAAAATAACCAAAAAAGCCAAAATGAAAATGTAGTAATGAGGAAAAAGGCAAAAATAAGACAGTGGCAAAAATAGGCATCGGAAGCTAAATTAAGCAAAAAAGGCAAAATGAAAATCTACTAAAACAGCCCAAGAAGTACAATTACGTGTGTAATAAGTGAAAAATAGAAACAATAGCAAAACAGCATTTTGTCAAACTTCCAAGCTCTACTTATTACCTAGTGAAGGGTTAAAATTTTCCCTCCCTATTCCCTTATGTAAGAAAAATATTCTATATATATTAATTAACCTTCTTTTAGCAAACCTATTGCATACCATAATGCAAGATTATCATGTAATATTGTATTATGGTATGATTTTCCTGAAGACTTGTTTTAATTTACTACAGGATATAGGGTGACAGATATTTGGAAAAATAAGAAAAGCCTGGTAAATGAAGGGAAATCAAAATATAAAAACAAAAATGTAGGGAAATGGCAGGCTACATAAAAAAAAGTACATTAAACTTAAACCTGAATCCTAGCTGTGAGGGGGGGTGGGGGTGGATAGTGAATTGATGTGAAGCAGTGAATAAAATTTAGTGACAGATGAATAAATATGCCATGTGTACTTATAAGTCAAATTACATGTATGAGGAGAGCAGCAGCAATATGTATCATTTATACGGAGGTGGGAATGGAAAAGCAATTGTGCATAATTTGTCTTTGAATTGTGCTTTGAATTGTGCAGAATTCTTAATGTTTTTGGCTGAAATTTCATGAGAGTTCATTTCTGTGTACAAGTGTATTGTAAAATGTCTTTATCTATCACATACGTCTTTAACCCCTATTAACATGCAGCCTTATAGGTTTATTATGTGGACTAAGTACCTACCTGTATGTTAAGAAATTTAGCATCCTTAGCAATGAGTTTTAACACCTTTAGCATCGTAAATAATCAACCATAGATTCGTGGCAAGTGAAATGTTTATTAAGAAAAAAGAAAAGGTGATGTACAAAACAAATCAGATTCAAACAATTGGGAATAAAAGTGTCTCATATTAGTTTTGGGGATAATTATTGTTAATTGTAATATTAATAGTACAATTAAAAAATGTATATAAGGTAAATTTACCTTATTTTCCTGGCATTCCACCAAACGTAGCTCTTCTCCGGTAATAGTATTTACTGAGAATTATTTGAATACATGTTCTTCTCGAACCATGGTATACAAATATTGTTTAAATAGATATATTGTAAGCAACACCTCACAATATCGTAGTATCATAATGCCGCAGCAACAGAATTCATCTATTTATCTATATACTATCGCATCTATTACCTACATACTATCGTAGTAATGCTGGAAGTTTTCACTTAAATCGTGAGATTTTTATGGTCACTGATAAAGTGCCGAACATACCATGAAATGGTAGTGTTATTACTGCCGTGTCCAAATAAAAATCTTGGCACTGCTATGCTCACCTCAATTTTTAACTTTTGACCTTTGCAGTAACATTTCTTGGTATGTTAATAGCTATTATCAATGTTTGTTAAAAAAACTATTGGTAAAAACATCATTCAATTCCATTCACATTCATATTCTTATCCTAACATTACTTTTCCAATTATTGTCCCACAGATAATTGGTTCACAGTTATTATGTGTTATGCCTAAAGAATGTATAAACCACTTTTTATAGTATATTGCTGAGACAGAATGTGTTTGTGGTGTAAAATTCTTTTAATTTAAACCAGTTTCTGTAGTGATAAATGTTCTCAAGCCTTGGTGGAGTTGGTATAAAGAGAGCCAAGGACAAAAAAGATCTTTCTGGGCTTTATCTTAAACTAACACTACACAATGGAAAGTGTTTTTACTATTTAATTTTCCAATGCTTTTATGCTTGGAAACTTTTTCAGCAAACAATATTTGCTGTTAAAAAATATTTTTTCAGAATACAATTTTTTGAACAATTTTATTCCAAATTTGATTATATAAAATACTTTTTAAAAATATTCCGAACTTTTTTTTCAGAAATTTCTTAAAAAAAATATTATTTCTTACGTATGTGATTGTTTCATATCTATGTAAAAAATTTCCATAAGTGAGTTTTCAATGTTGAATTTTTAAAGATTTTTCAAAGTAGTGGCACAAGTTGAAAAAATGATGTGTTTTTTGCCTTGAATCAAATTTTATTAACTAAAATGGAGAGTGATCTTCAAGAAGTGGTAAAAATATGATTCTGGTAATGATTTGAATGGTTAAAATTGAAAATGGGTGGTTTGGTGGCAAAGTTGAACAAGAGTGATATAAGAGTGTTTATGCAACCAGGAAAACAAACACACTTGCTGATGATACATTTTGCTCTCTAGGAAATCATTCTAAGTGACTTACTATCTATACTATCTAGAATGCTAGTTTAGAATTACTGAAATGTCCTTAGTGCATTACCAAAATAATATTTAGTATTACTAATTTCCAATTGTGCATTACTGCTGATGGCACAGCTGACATAATGCGACATGGAAGAAAGAAGCATCAGTATTCGTGTGTGCAATACCAGAAAACCCATTTTAGCTCTACTAGGTCCACATTGTCCACACACTTGACAGCTGCTTTTTTGAAGCTATAGGCCACTACTTACAATTAGAGTAGCATAACATTGGATTCAGACAAGGCATTTATTATTACTAACTCATATGTGGTGGTAATACATATAATATAATTCTCCCTGAGAAATATGACCAGTGCATATTTGGCACAAAAGTGTGTTCTGTGCACTACTAGTTTGGTTATTGATGCGATACACTTTGAAATAAAAAAATCCTTCACATGAATTCTTTAATTTTTGGGGGGTAACATATGAAATTCCTGGGATATTTCACAAAATTTTCATGAAAATGACTCCAAAATTTTTCATCTGGCTTCTTACCATACAGGAAAATCCCTATTCAGCATAAACTTAATTAAACTCTGTGACAATGTAATCTTTTAAATCATAAAAAATGGTCATCGTTCCTGTCAAATTTCTTTCAGAACTTTTAAAACCTATTTTTTCAACATAATTTTCTAACAAATTCAAACTTGAAACGTAATTTGGGTTATTTTTTTATTCACCTACATGTTGATTGTTTTGATGCTGCTTGTGGACTTGTGGTTGGGCTTGTGGACTTGGTGCATTCATTGGAGTACAGCTTGTTGTTTCACTATGGTTAATAGTTTATTAAAATTAAATTGTGTGAGCATTTTCTGTTGCCAGGAAGCTCTAATGAATAAAATAATGATCAGACTTCTCTCCTTGGTGCTACTTCCATGTCAGTCTGACAATCATTATTTGTTAGCCTACTTTCCCTTTGGTTCTCTGAAATCTCAAGATTAGATGGGTGGCTGTTGGTACTCATGGTGGCAGAGGCATCTAGATATAGGGTTAAAAGATAAACCTTGGGTATGAGGAGATGTCCAAAAGAAAAATCATTTGAGGTTGGGCCAATAAGGCCTGGCCCTTATTGCCTGGGCCAATAAAGAAGTTGAGTGATGGGTTAGCTAGATAGCTAGGTTGAATTGAGACGGTAGCGGCCAGCTCCTCTGATCAGTAGTTTTCCCTGTTTTTTCTGATCAATACCAGGGGAATGCCAAGTAGTACCCTAATCACCAGGCCACAGACCACGTGCAATCTTTTCTTCCTCTTCCCTGTCCTATTCTCACCCCTTAATTACACTAAAATGCACTACACTACCACACATCTGGGAGACTGATGGGGAGCTGAGAGCTTGTCCCGGCTGGGGCAGTGCCCCACTGGTACAATAGGTTGGCGCTGAATCTCACCATCTAGCGGGTGAAGATCACTACCCGCCTCCGTGGGGGGTATGCACTACACTTACGGGACTATTGTCCTTAGCAGCTGACACACCCAGAATTGCTAATCAATCTACCAATCAATAAAAACTGGGTAAGTTGGGCAGACGACTGTAGACTTGAGGAAGAAGAATAATCGGAGTGGAACACAGAAGAGAATGTAGGTCATGAAGTAGAAGCCAATCTGTGAAAAATTCATTTCAGGAAAGATTTTCAGACAGACAGGCAACTAACAGGAGATCATTTGGAACAAAAGTCATTTAGATAAAAAATATTTAATCTGACATCTCCTGAGATAAGCTGGCTAACTAGCAAAGAGTTACCAAATAAAACAAGCTTCCCTCTTTAAACTGGTGAGGGAGATACCTTCTAATAATTAAAGAAAAGTTGCTGTCAGGTATCAAACTATATTTCATTTGAAGATCTTTTTGATCACGTAATGATCATCACAGCTAATCTGAATATTACTGGAATTATATGATAATAGTCATGTTTCGTGTATTTGGTTCTATTATCATATAATTCCTGTAGTTTTCAGATTGGCTCTGATGTTGATCACTATGTGATCAAAAAGAACTTCAGATAAAATATATTTTGGTACCTAACAACACCTTTACAGTTATGCTTCTCTCTGTTGTAGAGATCAAAGAATTTCTAAGCCAAGATATACTTAGAGAATATGCATACTTCAAAAAGATGACAGATGCTCATTACCACTTGGTTACTTGAAAGGTCTGATAACTCTGGCCAGCAGTGATTAGCACGATTAAAACATTAAATCTGGCAGGGACAAACATTTTTAGAGGAAACTATACCCTAGTGGTTGAAAATCAAAGGAAGTTGTTGTAAATATACCCTCTTTTTAATGGAGAAAATGACACTTTGTTCTTTATTCCATATCTACTTTAATTTCCGAAAAGTGCTTTGATTAGAAATGAAAAAGGTTCAAAATTTCTGATTAGATTATTCATTATGTGTAATTAGTGTTTTCATATTTAATTGAATGTAAATTATCAGATTTCTTTCATATTTTACTTGCATTATTCTTAGTTGTTGCAATCCTTTTGCAGCTGCTTTGAATGAAGATGATGGGTTTGCTTATATCTCGGAGGTTATTAAAATTCATATCAAAGTGTTCTACCAGTCGAACTTCAGTACTCCTTTTATTGAAGGAAATAGAAATGTATTACCAGTTGACATTGATTTAAGATTCTGTTGGTTATAAGCTGTAAAATTCAAATTCTATTAACAAATGTTTCTAGGGCCTTCAAATTGGGTGAATTGTTTGACCAGGCAATACATATTGGCTATAATTGTACATTTCAATTTAATTATTCAGATTTGGAACTAATTTTATAATGAAGTAATATTATAAGAAGTTTTCTTATCTCAGAAAATCCCTTATTTATTTTTCAGATACAGTGAAGATCTGGAGTTGGATGATGCTGTCCACACTGCAATTCTGACATTGAAAGAGGGTTTTGAGGGTCAGATGACTGCAGATAACATTGAAATTGGAATTTGTGATGCTGAAGGGTTCCGTCGATTGGATCCTTCCAGTGTTAAGGATTATCTTGCTAACATTCCTTAATGTGGTGTCTTTTAATATGTATTGGTGTGCATTAATCACGTTTTTATTATAACATTTAAGTATTAAATGTATTAAGAATAAATTTTCTCTTGATTTATTGAAATATCAGTATTTGTTTGGTATTATTTTTCCTTCCATTTTAATTTAATGCCGCCTTTAATCTGGAAAGATCTTAATTTGTTGTTTTACATTTTGTGAAGAAGTTTAACTTTTGTAAAGAAAATTCATAATTTTACTAATTTGTTCATGTGAAGTTTTTTCATTGACATTACATGCAAGTTTATAGGTTTACGTTTTCTTAAGTGTTTTTTGTTTACAGTTTTTATTTTTTTAAATGATTTTGGAAGTACTGCAGCTCGAAACTGCTTTTACCTGCAGGGAGCCTATATATAGCCATTAGAAGTGCTGTATTGAAGTTTGTTATAAAGCATATTTTATTGAAAAAGGGTAATTTTTATTACTAAATAACGAACAAACATTTTAGTAGCTGCAGATTTTCATCTATTTGCCTACTTTCGTCCGTCAGTGGAAAACTTAATCGTTTAGGTTACTTATTCATTTTGAGGCATTAGGAGTATTACATATGAATTTTATTGCATCTATAAATCCCTATTACTCAAATAAATGCCTATTTTGTGTTTAAAAGCCTAAATGTTGCATATTCTTGTATTTTTTATCAAAATGCAATTATTCTTTAAAATTTTAAAAATTGTAGTACGTTTTTCTTTTTTATCCTGCAGAGTATAGAGAAATCAAACAATCGATTAATCTATGTTCTGTTTTTCTGCCACCACAGTGGGTATTTCATATTATGATATGTGTTACATCACTGGTGATAGTTGAATAATTTTTTCATTGAATTTTTAAACAATTTTTTTCTCAAAAATGCCTCCGATTTTTTCTTAAAATTTTCTCCTTGTATGTGTCAAAAACCGGTATAAAAATAGTGCTGGTCCCACTTTACCCAAACGCTCTATATTTTTGAAAATTCCAAAATGTTAACACTGCAAATATGTTGTAAATGAAGTCTGTTATAAAAAACAGACCTTTAAAAAAGTCATGTACCTTTTTTAACAAGTGTTTTTTGTGGAATTTCTGCAATTAATGCTAATTATAAAAAAAATTGCGAACTTTGATTATTTTTTTTTGATTCTATTTTTAGAGAGATAAAGTGAGAAAGTATGTGCCGGTGAAACCCACTAGATACAAAATATGTGTTAACAATGGCAATTAAAACAAATTATACAATGTTTTCAATTAAATATGAGGAAAAATATCATTAGAATTAGTGTTCGGCGTTACTGAGCAGCATTGAGTATTAGCTTGCATTTAATAAAAAGCAAAAAGGTAACTACTGCAATTCAGCTTTTTTTTTGTCCGAAATGCTTAATGATGATAGAAAGGATGTAATCAAATATTCCATGATTTGCTTACTTCAGACACTTTCTACACAAGTATATAAATACGCATAAGAAAAATGTATAGTGCCTTTATAAATGCCTATTTTATATTTTTAAATGCCCCTTTGTACATTGTTATGTACCTTTAAAACTTCAACTTAAAAAATCAACTTATCTATATCCAAAATATTCCACAAATTTTGTCTGCATAATTTGAGTGAAGATTGAGATGGCATTTTTAAATTTTTGGGGTTTTCTTTTATTTAGCAGTTTTTAACTTATATTAATTATTATTAATTATAAATTATACGTAAATTATATTAAAAATGAAATTTCATTAATCAATGCAATAAAAAGAACAACAAAACAACATTCCAATTGTGTTGAATCCTATTATGTTTAAGAGATGCATGTTTGTCATCGCATCTAAGAAAGTAGACAGGAAATTTCAGACAGATGTAATGTACACTGTATACTTTGGTTACCCAAAGGCCAGTGAGTGCTATTACGTAGTGCAATGATTATATTGTGTACCTCTCGAAGTGCAACCAATAACCAACCATTCAGGGGCTGCATGACTGTCTTGGGCCCTGACAGGGAATTTTGAAATTGAAGGAGTATTTTAATTTGTGCTGAATGATAATCATTAAGACATTTTTATTTTAAATATTAGCTCTATCAATTTATGGTGCTTCGTCTGGGCCATAATTCATAGTCATTAAATTGTTTCTTTTATTGAATCATTTCAAAAATGTTCCTATTGACCCACAGAATGTTTTATGTTCCTATTATTTACTATTAACTAATATTGTTTCATGACTAGACATCAGATTTTTAAGCAAATGCCTATTCTATTTGTTTGACATGGACACTCAAAATTTATTATTCACATATTCCATGACAGATTTTACACGAACTATATTTATAGTACTGAAATGGCTATTTAGTCAGTAGAGACTAAAAATCCCTAATAAGGCCAAAGGCCCTTGAGCTTTTTGCTGCCACTCAATCATTAGAACCCTTAACGCCCTTGGAGCATTAATACCTATAATTCATTCATATTACTTCACTGTGTCTACTCGACAACTGTGCTGAATTCGGGTAGTGTGGAACATAAGAGAGTTCTAATTTTCTTTGTTGCAGAAATGCCCCATTTTTCTTTCAATACTGATTATAAACACATTTTACTGAAAGGGCTAAATTAGAGCTGAAAATACATCGTGTAGCAAGCAGCAATTTGTTTTTAAACTAGTTTTTGTTTGGGAAATATTAAAGAACTAGACAGCACCATAATGATTTAGTACTTACAGAAAATGTCTCGAAAAGCCACCCAACGACCCCTTTTCAATTTGTTCTATTCAAGTTCATTATATTTTCTCTTATTTTTTTAATATTATTTTTACCAATAATTACTTTCCACACACATTTTTCTGCCATGTACACTAGCTATACAAGTTTCCATGAATTTTTTTATTAACCAACTGCACCCCGTTGGATAACTGAATCCCGTTAAGGGCAAGGGCCTCTTGCTTGCGCAGGAAATTATTAATCCTTCTTCAATGAAGTATTAGGATGGTGACGGAGGGTGAAGGGACAATCACAAATACATCCATGCCCAAAGCGGGAGTCAAAACTGCAATCCGAGATCGTCATGACACAACTACCTTAGTGATTTTGACTATCTGGATTGACTCTGTTAAAATTAGTGGATTACATCCATACTTAAGTTATCAAATTATTAATTGCTATCAGCTAATTTATTTCTTGGAAATGGCCTGAAACTGTCTTGGAAACTGACTGAACCTAACAAATTAATTTTGTAGATAATAAATACAAGTTATTCTTAATAGTTCTTGAGAACCTTTCTTCTATTTATTAAACTTGAAATACTGCCAATGCCAGTGTTAATTGTATTATTACTCTGTAATGTTTAATTGCAGCATTAACATGTACTATTCTGTTGGATAACCAGTTGAGCTGACATGGTGGTTGATTCAGTAATCTTGATGATGACAGCTTAGGATTGTGTTAAGTTAAAGTGCAATATACCTACACTTGTGAATGTAATATCAAACTTTTAAATCGAAGTAGAAGTCATTTGTGACGTGATGAAATAATTTCTAACATTTCACAGATTCAGGTAAATAGCCATTAATAAAGCTTTCTGTGTCTACTAAATGTTTAGGAACAGAATGAATATAATGTTCAAAGTACAAAAAATATAAATTTATCTGAACGTGAGCGAGATATTAAATAACTAATTATTGCTAAGTCAACTAAATACTGAACACCTTTGATAATTAATTTTTAAGAATTAGATGTAATATCCATAGTCCAGATGTGTGAAAACTACTGGTTTATGCAGAGAGTTTAAAAAATGTGGATAATATATGTAAATTTGCAGTTTGAAAAGGGAACTGAATAAGAAACAGATTGGAATGTTAAAGTCAAAGATTTTGGGAACTTCAGAGAGATAGACAAGTTACTTTTATTAATATTATTATCTATGCAATGAGTATTATACCTCTTGCATTGAAAATCTGTTAAAAAGTTGAAATGTTGATATTATAAGTTGAAAAATTGCATTGAAATTAAAATGAAAAATTTAGAAAAATTAATTAATTGTTTGGTGATTTTTCCAGTATGAAATAAACTCTAGTGTCCTACAATGGGTAAGGATTAAAAAAAAAAATTCCCTTAATGAAAAATAATTTTGCAATTAAGAAATGGACAAAAAAGGTAGTAAGAGAAAAAGAAGAGCAAAAGGAAGATGATGCAATAGGAGATCTTATTTTACACAAATGTTTCGAATATTAAATAGAATGGTTCCAAAATTTGAAAAGCATTGAGAACATTTAGTTAAAAATTGCAAAAACTGAAGAAAAGTACGGTGAACCTTCATTTTAATTTCTATCATAAATGCAGAAGTTAGGATCTTGCTTTGGTGAGATTTGCCTGAAGTTTGACTGATATTTATCTGAAGAAGAAAAATTGAATCCAGAGTGCCACTATTAATAGTAGCAGTATTAGACAATCTTACCATCTCCTACAAGGTACTAAGGAGTATGTTAAAATTAGGCAGAAATAATTTAAAAGTCTTGGGTGGAAGTGGAGGGGTCGGGCGGGTCGAAAGGAAGGGTCTTGTTAATAGATGAATATGAGAAATATCCTCCCAAAGCTGGGTAGCCAGACTTTAATGTGTAGGTCCAACTTCTTAGTTTTTTTTACTTTATCCTATACGTACGTAGGATTATCGGCAGTTATGTAAGGATTTACGGCAGAAAAAATTCATTGCCGAAATAGATAAAACCGAGTTACTAAATTAAGAAAAAATCCTCTAACACGTGGTGTAGTCATAATCCCTGTTTTGTGGGTCCTTGATATCGAAAAATGAACTGACCACACAACGTCCGTCCGTGTGTGAACACCACTAGCGCCTAAACTATACGTAGGATTTTTCCTAAATTAAAGAAACCCCCTGACGATCTGTCTCGAGTGGAAGCATTGACATTTTGAAAAAACATTCTTTAAAATTTGGGGGTATTCTACACGAAACCCCTGGGACATTTTGAATTTGTTTTTTTTCAAAATCGGCTTCAAATATTTTCTTTTAATTTTCTTGTAAGAATAGAGTAAAATACACTCATAAAGGTGGCTTAGATCTGATTTCAAGTTATACTACGAATTTTCGAAAATTAAAAAAATTGAATTATTTTCGGCGGCGTCCTACAATTACAAAATCGAAGATAGAGATTTTCCATTCAAATGAAATATGTTCTCCATATTTAGTTCTTTTAATGAAGTGATATACTGTTATCTTATATTATTTCTTTGTTCAATGATTATCTCTAATACCAAACTGAAGAGAAGAGATTAAACTTACTTTCATCACTTCGGAGGGACATCGACCAGTCCTTGCATTTCCATGTTCATTACTTATTTGCAAATTCCAGCCTGATCTTTCTATTCTTTGGTTATCAGTAGTTTTCGAGAAGGTCGTCTAACACCAAAATTAAAAGCTGCTAAACGCCCTTTTACTTTCGGAATGTGGAGGTTGCGTCCATAGTATTCCTGTGAACAATCTTTTTTAATATTTTTATTTTTTATATTTATTATTATTATTATTATTATTATTATTATTATTATTATTATTATTATTATTATTATTATTAATTTGGGGTAGAACAGCAAGCGACTTCTTCCGAATTATTCTGAAGTCTCTTTCGGTTGTTATTGGGATCTTTGTTTGGTACATACACACCCATCCCCATTTTGCCTTTTATTTCACATATTTAAAAGTTGAGATATCCCCAAATCCCTAGTAACAATAGATTGGGAATTACCTTGTAAAGCATAATAGAATATTCCTTCCGTGTCGGCCTGCCCACAAGAACCTAATTTATAATACGATGTACTTTTCTGAATGTTTCCCAAAATACTAATGAGCCAGGATCAAATAAGTTTATAATGATAACATTGAAGATAATCTGAATACGTGACATACGGTCACGGTGAAAG